GAACCGCCACGTATTTGCTACTATCACTTCACCATGGAATACTACACTGTACTGGGCGCGTAAGTAAACATAGAATAATTTTGAATACTTATTGGCTTGATTTTTTTTTTGTATTTTAATACACGAGGAATTCCAATATGTTCCCAGCAGATATTTTGTCTTTTTTTCATTTATCGCTATACTACATTCTTTGCTTCCTCAGGAAAATGCTATACTGGCGACCCTGTTTGGATTTAGATGCACATCTTATGTTACGTTTTCCAAAATCAAATTGAAGATCTCACACGTGGACATTCGCCTTGCCTAAAAAACTAAGTCCTTACCCATTTGACGGAACTAAAAGTTGTGCCTAACGTCACTTTACATAGCCATATTATTTTTTCAGGGTAATCATATTTAGAAATGGTAGAAATGGTAGAATCGACTTTTCTTCATACTATAAGTAACGTCTTTAAAATCGACGAAAATGTGATGCGTGCAGATTTGCTTGTCCAAAGCCTTCAAGAAAAGGGGAACTTTGCTTCGCGAAACACTTCATACTTTCGCACAGTAACAGCAGATGTTCCCCTCTTGTTGGTTAGGAAATTTCGCTTAGAAGCTAGTACTTTGCACCTTAATAGCTTTTTTTTACCGATTATGAACTACTCAGCCGGTATTCCGTTATTTCCGGTGAGTTTGCTGTTTTTAAGCAGCTCTTGGACTATTCTCACCACGTCTTGATCGAATGGATAAAAGTGTATGTTGGTATGAGTTCATCTTCGTCAAATAAGCCATCCATGTCGCTATTCCAAAGTGTTACCATCCATAACTCCACCGAACTCTGGATGTTTTATTCTAGATATCCATTTCATCTCTGTAAGACTTCCAATCATTTGCGTTTTGTCTTATTTACCTCATTCCACCACTCTTTTCTTTTTCGTATTCTTTTCGATCCTCTCCTCTCATTATTGCACAATAATTGTTGGCAATAAGGGCAGGACTTTCTTTTTTTAATTTTAAAATCGACTCCTCTACCCCGTTCGCTAGACACACGGATAACACTTCTTCTAAAGAACTGTCAAATTACTAATCATAATTCCCATACAGTACCTAATATAAAAAGTTATATTTACTGGGCATTTGTTTGTAATTCTAGAGATGATAGATAGTTTATATTTGTCTGTCTGTCAATTACCAGAACTTGCCCTAGTTGTCACAAGGAAATCACTGTCAGGAATATCTAGCCCGGACGAGGATCTGTTGCCCACGTCAAATTGTTAAAGGCCAGAATCAATACGGTAACTAAGTGACATAACATTTTTCGAGAGAATCTCTCCAGCAGCAGAAATGAAAATTTCTGATCAGTTCTTGTATGCTACACTACAACCATTCTAGTCCCTGGTACAGAAAGTTTACCCAAATCAAGATATTGCATGGTAGTGCTCTTCCAGGCACTACGAGAGTTATAGTATTTGTCCAAGCTTATCCTCTGATTTGTGGTGTGCATCTTGATGTTGTCCCGCAAAGAGGTAGGTAGGACCTACAGTTTTACGTCGACTCTGAGCGGCTTTTTTATTTTTATGAGAAGCTGTTTTTCAGAGCAGAATACACTCAGAGGTTGGCCATGGCCTGCCTAGAAGTGATTACCTCTGATTAATTTTTCCAGGCTTATCCAGATTATATTAGTTGAGAATATTATTAAGAAAATCTATGAAGCGCCGGTATAGATTATCTGTAGAAGGCATTACCATGCCAGAGCCTGTTTTGGCACTGTCGAGAAAATCTCATTTACAGAAATCTAGCCAGTATCTGGAGGGAATAAGGGCTGTGTCTAGAGTATTTCCAGTTGGGTAGCTATTTTAGGATGTATGTAGAATTGTAGGGTTTCGTTTTAAAAAAAGCACTTTGGCTACAATTGTTGCCAAACGGCAATGCTGGTCACACACATACATAGTTGCTCTCAGCTCGATTGGCGCAATCTTGTATCATTCTTGCATACAGCCATACAGACATGGCTTTATTGATTACTGAAAACGAAATATGCGTATAAGTGCTATGATATTTCTTTTTTTTTTTTTTGATTTCCAAATGATGGAATTCCAAATAAAAATATCATCAAAAAATACAAATTCTCGTGCCTTTATTTTTTTCCATATGCAATCATAAATGCTTGCTTAAATATAAATGACGTGATGCTAAAAATGTTGCACAATCTTGGCAAACAATCAAATCAACGGCACCATTTTCTTAATGATTTTCACATAAATTACTGAGGCAACAACAAATTTCGCCTGTAAAATTTTTGTTTGCTGGTGCAGTTGATACGAATCGTTGTCACAATATTGATGAATACTCGCCATACCGCGGGAATTACACGAATACACAAAGCGAAGAAATTGCAATTGACATAACTGACGACGCAGACAAAGGCAATATAAACCATAGTTAGACAGCAACGAAAACTATTCAAATGTTGAATGTGAAGACAGATTTTCTACATAGTTATATTCAAAGATGTTTTTGCTCTTTTTTATATCATTCCTAAGCATAACTATGTACTTAAAAAGTTTGTATACAGAATAGTGTGCACGTCTACTAAGCTAAAGCGCCCAGCAAAGCGATTCGTAAGCTCATAAACAACAAACGTAAAGAGTCGTTGACGCACAATGCCAACAATGATGCAGCAGCAACATCAGCAACAGTTGTTAGTTGACGCTTCTAGCGACAGAATCGAAGTTAGTTGCCAGACACTATGTCACTGCGCAAGCTTACGAGTAGACTATGGGGCTACGTCTATGGAATGGAGCAGAAGCTTCAGCAAGAGAAAACTAGCAAAAGTAGCTAAGCAAAAGCGATGCTAATAACTAAGATAAATTGATGCTGCAATTTACATATTCACATACAAACAAATTTGCTTACAAATAAACTCACATACATACAATACACACTTACATAAAAGCATGTACACATTGTTGCATACCGTGATAATCGTTATTTAGATGGCGCCGCATAGAAATTCACATCAACCACAACTAACTGAGCGTACAAAATTGTGAAAAAGTGAGAGTATCTGCTTGTTCGCAAATAGGTAAATATGTACCCAGTAGGAAAACAAGATTGTGCAAGATTAGTTAGAAATTGTCATAACTCAACGAAACTTGGTAACTACTTAGGTGGTTATTGGTCTTAGATAGAGTCATATAGAAAATGAGCGAAATAGTTGTGGCTCACTAAGCAACATATGCCACACCTACTTCCCATGAAACAGAGTTTTTGGAAAATGTAAATACACACTGCGATATGTCACTATAAACTGATACTAACGTGCTAAAGTTTGATATCTAGAAAACCCTTTTATCAAGAAAGAAATATCGTGTAAAATTTTGCAAAAAAATGCGTGGCACTGCCCACTTGTTAAAGAACATATGCATCTCATTAGTGCCTCAATCGATATTTCTCAAACATGGTACCCTCACTGGCACTTATCTCACTAAAAGAAAAGCTTTGAAAATAACCACGCCTACTACAATAATTCAGTATAAGTGCCACATTATATGTATGTATATAGGGGCGGTTATATTTTTTTTACTTGGCGCGTATGTTATACGAAGATTCTGAGTGTATTTTTAAGCAAATTTGCCGAAGAAACCGTGGGTCTAAAATCAATCAAGAGCTTGCCAAATTACGAAAATAGGTTTCGAAGAAAATGTGAATATTTTCACTCTTGAGCCCTTGAGTGAAAAATCCATTTCTTCCATACCAAAAAAAACCTCTTATAGCAGGATTTTATACAAAATTTAATCACTTCTTTACGACACTACAGCAAAATGCTAAGAAACCTATTTTCGCAAGTTGACAAACTCAAAATTGATTTTACACCCATAGTTTCTTCGGCAAATTTTCTTCGAAGTACACTTAGAATCTACGCGCATAGTCGTGAGAATCTGCCATCCAAATTGACTCGCCCTAATATATGGGGCGTTCCATACCAAAATGGACGGTGTTCACACTTCATGTGTTTGATTTATTTCAAATTTTTAGGGTTGATGCATAAACATAATTAATAAATAAATATGAAATTTGAGCTTGATTAATACATTCTTAAAAACTGTACAGCACAAAAACAAAAACAAATCGATTTAATAGTTTTCCAAATGTCTCGAGAACGGGGCGAGAAAGAAATTAAAAATAAATCACACTTACACACATCAAAATTCTCTATGAAAAGAAATATTTTTAAAATTTTTTTCTTAAAAAATGTTTCGCATACAAATTTTTTGAAAAAATAAAATTGTTTTTGAAAATATGCCATCTCAAAAAAATTTAAAAAATCACAATGGTAGCTCTAAGTATTGCGCAATATTTAAATATAGTATTATGGGTTGCACTCATGTATGTACTCATTTTACTCAAGATCGGTGTAAAAAAAAAATCATAACTCAAATTATTGTAGAGTGTACCCCATATTACTATATTTAAATATTACGCAATACTCAGAGCTACCATTGTGATTTCTTTTTCCATTTTTTTGTTTGAGATGGCATATTTTCAAGAACTAATTTTTTTATCAAAAAATTTGTATGTGAAAAATTTTTCAAAAAAAATATATCAATTTTTTTTCATAGAGAATTTTTTTGTGTGTATGTGTGATTTTTTTTCTAATTTTTTTCTCGCCCCGTTCTCTACATATTTTTAAAACTAAATATTAAATCGTAAGTAAGTGCTGTAAAGTTTTTAAAAATGTATTAATCAAGCTCAAGTTTCATATTTATTTATTATTTATGTTTATCCATCAATCCTAAAAATTTTAAACAAATCAAACACATGAAGTGTGCACCCCGGCCATTTTACTTGACTGAAGAAAATAGCATAGAATAAAACCCTTTGTTGAGTTTAGCTTTGAAGCAATTGCAGCCTTCATCATCAATATTCCTTGTTAATGCCATCTTTAAAATTCAGCTGAAATAGCCTACGGCTTGAATTTTTGCTTTATAAAAATTTTATATACCACAAAGGGGGAAAGCTAGAAACTATGAAATTCGTATAGTTTTTACTAGGCATTTTTCTAACTTTCGATAGTTGTTACGTACAACCTTTTCACCTTTGTTCAAGTTTTTTCTACAGGGCATATTTTAGCATCTACAGCAAGCGTGTTTGTGCACACATTTACTTTGAAGTATTCTGCGGTAAAAGACCATAACAAATTCCCACGATTGTTTACACACAGCGACAATTGATGATGATGGCACAGTTGGTGGTAAAATGACTGCAGTAATAATTGCTAAAAGAATTTATGATTTAATTTTATTAGCTCAGTCATACGATGATTGATCTTTATTATATTAGTTTTTAATTGCCTTAATGCATCACAATCAATATAGCGGAATGAATTAAAGGATTTAACATATGTATTTAGTAGTATTAGTAGAACAAGTATATATTTTTTTTGTACATTCAGTTTAAATTTAGTAAATGTTTTAGGCTACTATTTAATTTCGAACTCGTAAGTGAAGATTTTTGACAATAACAGATTGTGTTGAGTGTCACACTATAAGTTAAATAAAAATATAAGAATTACAAGCTATGAAAATTCATTTAAAATTAAGTCTTTGACTATTGTGGTGGACTGCCACGAAAAAGTCATCATATCTCGGGGCAGTGGAGAAGGTTCAGCAACTCGCAGCACTGTGCATCACGGGAGCGCTGGGGTCCACTCCAACGGCTGCTCTTGAAATAATCCTCAGTTCACCAACCATTGACCTATGTATTCGCCGAAAACCATTCTGCTAAATCTGACAGGCTAGCCGCCGACAGAAGGCTGCACATCTATTGGCTGTGCGGTCACAGGGGAATAGGGGGTAATGAAATAGCAAATGAGACTGCCAAGAACCCCACCAGTCGAACTCACAAACAGACAAACTACATTTGTAGAGCACTTAAACACTTGTACAACGAAATAAACGATATAATATGATAAGGCAGTTCAAGACTAGATGGAATGAGTTAACCACTTGCAAAACTGCAAAAAATTATGTGCACAAATGGCAGAAGCAACTATACTCGCTCCTTGTTAAGGCTATCAAAGGAAGACTGCAGAGTTATTACCGAATTGCTTACGGGGCATATCCTGGTGACTGCTCATACACTAAAAATGGTCATCACTGGACAAGAGCGAGAAGTGTTGCGAGCGGGAGACTAGGGAAAGCTTTGAGCATCTTCTCTGCCGATGTCCTGCACTATCAAATACACGACTAAAATGTTTAGGAGCCTATTAATTTGAGAAGTTAGAGGACATCTAAAAATTGGGGCTAAAATTTCTACTTAAAATCGTAAAAAACTTTGGCATGCTTTCTGATGTTTTCTTTAGCGCGTAAAAACGAGCTTCAAATGGCAACTCTAAAAACCTACCGGTCTATGTGTGGCTCCATGCGGGCTAGATAAAGCTAACCTAAGCTAAGTCCTTGTCTACAAGAAATTTAAACGTAGAATTTAAGTTATATTCACTTAGCATAATAGCAACCCCGTTAGCCATATCTTAAGCTTTTTCACGAAAATAAAGGCAACGGATATTATTATACCAATAACTTGACGCATATGGCGGGGTCGCTGTTCTTGTGGATTGAGAAGAGCACACCTAAATTCCGCTCGGCGGCCATGGTTTCTGCTGAACCTATTCTTATCTTAATATATACTAATCTAATGAAACAAGCAGATACTTTTTGTCCGCCCTTTTTTCTCTTGCCGGCATTAAATGACTGTACAAAATTAAAAAATTATAATCAAATACTCTCTTTTTATTTTATTATTTTTTATTATCATTAGACTCATTATACTTAGTTCATTTACTCCCAATTCGCTCAGTGAGCCAGGTGGTTTAGTTCCCCTTTGCGCATTATAAAATTGCGCCACTTTCAATTAAATTTTCAGTATAAATCGCTAAGCAAGTTTGTTGTGCGGTAGTGCATGAAACGCCATAATTACGGGTATTGCATTTTTTCAACAATTTAATTACGATTATTTGCGCGTAAAATACGGAAAAGTGCCAGTAAAAATATTATTTCATTAAGGAAATGTTAGGTTTTATTTACTTAGCTCATTTCACTAAAAATAATCATTATTGATTATGCAAACAAAATTTTACTTGAATTATTTATAAAGTTAATTGAAGTAAAAATGAAAATGAAATATGTAAACGGATTTAAAAGCACCAGTTACTTATAACTAGCTACATAGTATTATTGTGTTTATGTGGGTCAGTAAAGCTGCTGAAAATAAATTTAGCTTTTAAGGCCAAAAACTAATTTTAAATGTAAGCAAATTAGAGATTTACAGACTAGGGCCAAAACTAAATAAGTTTGCATTGTAAGTTCGTGGCTTAAGTCTTTTGTTAGCCCATAAAATTTGCTTGCAAATATTCATACTCACTTTTTCTAATTTCTTTTTTTCCGCTAGCGCTTGCCAAGTATGCACGCCAAATGCCACCAACACCGTCTGGAGTCATTGTCAATGTGTTCTTGCTGATGGTGTCGAACGTGGTATACTCACGGTGAATCGTATGATACCCGGGCCCAGTATACAGGTGTGTGAAAATGACAAAGTCGTTATCGATGTGGAAAATCACATGGAAGGTATGGAGACAACAATTCATTGGCACGGCATTTGGCAGCGTGGCTCACAATATTATGATGGTGTGCCATTCGTAACACAGTGTCCCATACAGCAGGGCAACACTTTCAGGTGAGTGGCAACAAAAAAAAATATACAAAAACTATTTACACTTAAATAAAAATTTTTTATTAAAAATTTTAATTCTATGCCAAAAATCGTGCCCACGCAGATATCAGTGGACCGGCAATGCAGGCACGCACTTCTGGCATTCTCATCACGGTCTACAGAAATTAGATGGTATTTACGGCAGCATAGTTGTACGTCAGCCGCCGTCGCGTGATCCCAACTCACATATGTATGATTTCGATTTGACTACACACATTATGCTGATTAGCGATTGGTTGCATGAGGATGCCGCAGAACGTTATCCCGGACGCTTGGCCGTGAATACTGGTCAAGATCCCGAATCGGTGCTAATCAACGGCAAGGGTCAATTCCGTGATCCCAATACTGGTTTCATGACAAATACGCCATTGGAAATTTTCACAATCACACCAGGACGTCGCTATCGTTTCCGTATGATTAATGCCTTCGCATCCGTTTGTCCAGCGCAGGTGACAATTGAGGGTCACACAATGACGGTAATTGCTACCGATGGTGAACCAGTGCAACCGGTTGATGTGAATACGATCATATCGTTCTCAGGTGAGTGAATGTAATTAAGGAAAAAGACTTAAAGAGAATTAATTCATCGAATACGCATTGGAAAAAAATTGCACTAATGTTTACTTACACCAAGGAGAAAAAGTCTGAGTACACCATTTCTTTTTTAAATATTCATAATATTTTGCAAGCTAAAATTTGTTTGTTATTTTTTTATTAAACTATGGGTCAACAAAATCATATAAACCAAGGATTTAAGCTTTATACAAAATTAGGGAAAATTAAATAAATTTTCATAAAAATTTTCAATTTTTTAAACAATTTTTTTTTTCAAGTTAGCTATAAAATTAGTACGCATTTTCTTCCATACAAGAAATGAGCGAATTTTTTGTATATGGAAGAAAATGCTTAGAACTACGAGAAAAAAATTAGTTAAAATCAACACGATTTCTTAGCCACTTAATTTATACACTAAAATTTAATGGGCTATAAAACTGCGCACTTGAAATTTTTCAAAAATTCTGATTAAAAAGTTGAAATTTTTGATGTAATTTCATTGAACTTGAAACTTGGGTTTATATGATTTTGTTTGATAAAAAAATAAGGGACAAATTTTATATTGCCAAAATATGGTGAATATTTAGAAAATATACACAGACTTTTTCTGCTAGGTGTATGTTATTTTCATGACTTGTTTCTACCGGCTGGTTGTTTGTTGTTACATTTTTTTTTGCATAAAATTATGTACATATGTTATGTTGCATTTGTCATTTAAAATATGCATAAGTCGTGCAAGTTTCTAACGCACAGCTGTCACAATGATTGGTCACTCATACAGCGGCGCCAAATTTGCGCTGAATTTTAATATTTCTATGGGCATTACAAAGCATGAAATTAATAAAAAAAAAAAACGATTAATAATAGTTAGTAGATGCGTAGCCTTCGCTCTCTCCCTCTCTCGCTTGCCTTTTATGGCGCTCAACACTTATGAATTCATATTTGTACGTATGTATATGCGGCACCCTGTGCTTGAACTCGGCATAAAAACAACGCACCACTTTCAGCAGTGGCAAGTGAACTCAATGAGTAATAACCTCGAAGACATTAATATTCCAACTTGTAAAATGCCAAATACGAGTATAAACAAGAATATAAAAATTAAAATGAGCAAGAAATCGTGTAAAATATTACTAAACAACCTAGCCGCCAACATAATGCAACATAATTTTCGCCACAACAAAACGAAAACAATAAATAAATGAAATCATGCAGTTAAACGCCAAAGACGTAAAAAAAGCTATTGATTGCAGCAACAAAAAACACCGCACTGGTTTTTATAAAATCACACACACACACGCCTAGTTAGAAATAAATAAACTACAAATAACAGCATGAAAATGTATTATTTGCAGGCAAGTTCGCAGCATATACCATAATCATAAACATAAGTGTATTTGTATGTGCATACATGTATGCAATTTTTGAGTGCAAATGAACCGAGCGTAAGCTGATGAAAGTGAGCGACTAGTAAACAAACGTTCGGGATTTGGTGGAAATATTTACTTATTTAGTTAGTAGTAGAATAGTATTAAAAAATTGCCGGTCGAAAAGTCACACAGGGCGTGAATAGTATGTGCACACCTCGATTGTGTAAAATATTTATGTATATATGTATATTTGTACACTTAGTATGTACAGTTGTGGCCGCATAATTAGGGCACTACTTCTTTATAAGTTTGTTTATGTTTAATTATTTTTTTTTTGTGCAAAAATATAGTTTACGCTACAAAGTAAACCATGGATTTCAAACCTTTTACAAAATTTATGAAAATTTTACCAAATTCAAAAAATGGGCATCAAAATTTTAGTTGAAGTTTCAAGCGATTAAGAACTTGAGTTTATTTTTGAGAATTTTCTTGGCTGACGATGTTTCGCATTTTCTTCCATACAAAGTTCAAAAACTTTTTTTATATGGGAGAAAATGAGCCACACCGTCAACGAATTTTTTATCGCCTATAACTTCCGCAATCCAGCATTTAGTACATTTCCATTTCACTTGAATCTGAAATTTAATTAATTTGATTTAAGTTGAAGTTAATTTTTTAATTTATCTGGATTATTGGTGCACTGAAAAGACTGTACTTAACAAGTTAATAAATTAAATTAAATTATTAGTATATTAGTATCAATAGAAATTGTGTTGAAAACGCTTTACATCTAAACACACGTAGGAGCGTTGCCATCTGCTTAAAAAATTAATTTCGACTCGATTTAGGGGATTTAAGTAATTGAAATAGATATTTATGACAATATGGGTGTCAGCCTGAAAGTTTATTGAAGAGGATTGTCATCTGCTTGTGAAGTCAAATTTAATTAAATTATAGAAATTTATGTACATAAGTTCTTAAAATATGTCCATAAAACGAAATAATAGGGTCACCAAACTCCTTCCTGCATCCCCGGCTGATAAATTATTAAGTTAAGGAACAAATATACCTTTGCGGTCAGCTGATTAAGTTAAGTGACATTTTAAGCCGTTTTGGACATTTTTCTTTTGCTTATTTAATGTTTATAACTTTTCTGTAAAACATTGCACACATAAATCCACATTTCAAATTTTCTTACAAAATTTTTAAAAATTCAACAAAATTTAACAATAGCACAAATAAATTTCAAACTTTTTATTCAAAAATTTTGCAAAAGTTTTATTTAGGCATTCAGTTTTATAGTACATTAAATTTTAGTACAGTGAAACTCGAAATTCAAGACTGTAGAAAATCACGTTGATTTTTAATAAATTTTTTGGCTGAAGGTGGTGAGCATTTGCTCCCAAATAAAGTATGCTCGACAATATACGTGCATGTTTTCATACAAAATTTAAGCACTTCTTAAAGCAAAACAGAATATATCTGTATATCGTCACTACACACGAATAAAGGCCCGCTAGTGTTTTGATGGCGAAAAAAGGCGCGTAAAAAAATTTTGCGAAAAAAGATGCTTATGAAAAACTTCGGCGAAGTATGTTAAGAGTTTTTGACGCTGAATTTTTTTTATGCGTCTTTTTTCGCCGTCAACTTTTGAGCTCGTGCCTATATTCGTGTCTAGTGACGATATGTATATATATGGAGAGGGACCTACGGGTTCCGATTCGAATACTTTTAGAGCTGGAGCGTTGATGTCCTTTCGAACGATTAAAAAAAAAAAAGCAATTTAATTTTTTTTTTTTTAATTTTACAATTATAAAGAAACGTCTAAACAACATTTGACTTCAAAAAATATATTATTGATTTTTTTGCGTGCAGAACCTATCCATGATCCGATTAAAATTCTTAATATATTTGTTCACTTAAGTGGCTTCCTGGCCTGGTATATAATTAATTTTATTGAGAAATTGTCGGTTTAATTCGTTTTAGTAATTTTTATAGTTAAACTAAACACTAACATATTGCATATTTCGATTTTTGCCGGCGTATGTAAAAAAAAAACTATTTGGGTAAAATGTAGAAAAAATCTCTTTTACTTTTCTTTCATACCATTTCGGAAAAAAAATTCACTTTCGCTGACTCTTAACGATTTCGACTGTATAAATACACACGTACACATATATTCATGCAAATGTTTCATATCTTATAAAGGCTCTTTAAATGCCCTGCTTTTATCGCCTATAATTGTTTCGGCAACCATGTAAAACTTTACAAACCATTAATTGCTACTGCAAGTGTTTATCGCGGCAGGCCCACTTTCTTATCGCTTTTATCTTAACTTTTACATAGTTTTACTTTGCCAAACAAGTATTGTTTTCTGGCGGGTGTTTTGGAAAAAACAAAATCAAAAGTATTCCAGTAAGCAGATAATTTATCATATTTATAAACGCTCAGCACTACAGCAACAATTAATTGACCATTCCACTGTGCTCCACAAAACTTTGCCAACTGTTTCATTAAAATCTTATACACCTTTTTACGGCGCAATTATTAGCAATAATCAAGTGTTTGGCTGAAGTTAAAATTTTTATTTCATAGCGCTTTAAGCACACTAAATTTTATTTTTTCCTTTTTTTTGTTTTTGTTATACATAATTGTGTAGTTAATTTGCTAACATCAGCCACTATGCATTATGAGTGTGTGTTTAAAAACCGGCTTCTTTCAAGCTTATACACAAATCTGATAACATCTGTTCAAAGTAAGCTTTTTTTTAATAATAAGTATACATAATTTTTTTAGGAATCTCTTTTAAGTTTCGACTTCTTGCAAGTTTAACCGCCTTAGGAAGATCAACTTTTACATGGTTACTTAATAAAATCATACCCTCTAGTCAAATATGTAACAAACGACCGAGAATAAGGATATTCATTGATACCTTATGAAATTCCAAGAAATATCTTAAAGGGCTTATAATGTATCTATATCGCTATGAATTTATACACACATCTACTTATTCGTTTTATAAATTTCATGAATCATATTAAGTAGTTTAATACTTTTACGATTTCATTAACCCAATAATTAATTAAGAACACTTATTACACTCACTAATAAACTTTTTAATCACCACATACTGTAATTGAGTTGTTAATAAATAATAACTGTTTATTGCACGTAGCATTAGTTTAAGCACAAATGTATCATACATACAAATGAAGTGGAATAGCATTACTTCTTAAGCAGCGTATATAAGGTCAGATGATCAAGTTTGTTTATTTAATTTACATTCTTCATATATATAGGTATGTTCTTTTATTAATTGTTTATTAATATTGCCGTTTATCTATTGTGCTCATGTTGAATTTGAAGTGGTTAAGTTGATGTGGAAAGCTTAAAAAAATTCAAAAACTAATTGACGGTAAAGACATACATACGTACGTACTTCACGCAGCTAAATTTGCGTATCTTATTGGTAATGTTTAATAGAACTGCTTAAAATTAACTATAATAATAACTAAATTAAATTTTTTTTTTTTGATAAATGTTTAAAATACCGTCAGCTAAATTAATTAATAAAACTCAACGCGATTTTCCAACCACTTCATACCAAAAATTTTTATAAATATTCAGATTAAAAAGCCAGGACCAATAACAAAAGTTATGATGGAAAGTGAATGTCACTCTCGTAGTTTTTTTCCCAAGAGCGCTTAAAAACCCAAACCGAAATGAGAACAAAACCTTCGGGAGTGTTTCAACAAGGACAAAGCTTAGAACAAACCTGTCGAGAACGTTCTCAAAGAGATATACATATATAAGAACAATACCCTGTGGAACATTCCCAAAGGGAGCAAACTGCGAGCAATACTTTCGGGAAAATTCCTGAGAGAACAAAATGGGACAAGAGTGTCTAGAACAGCTGGCAAAAAACCGAAATGGGAAAAAAGTCTAAGGAGCTTTCTGTCGAAGAACAATTTTGGAACTAAAATCTCAGGAACTTTCTGACAGAGAACAAAATAGGGAAATCTTAGAAATAAAAATCATGGTTATCGTTGAAACGACTTTTCAACCCAACACGAAGACACCCCTCTCATTCCTAACGTTAGGTTCTCAAATCATTTGTTCTCGTTTTGTTCTTTAGCAAAACGTTCCCCAGATTTTTTTTTTTATTTGGGGCCGAGAGAGCCTTTAGTAATATGAGAAGGAAAAAAATTTCATTTCATTCATTGAATATTAAAAAAAAAATCAACATGTGAACACTTTTTTGAGTCACTGTACTCTTTTAGTTAATTTCTTCATAAAACAAAAAAAAAAGCTTTTAAAAAAGTATTAACCATACAAAATAAGTTATGCTTCAAGAGAAAAACGCAGATAACTTTCATCTAGTTGCAAGTTTCTGAGTTTTTTTTTGGCAATATAATGTAAAATATACGTACAACAATATAGGCCAAAACCCCATAAAGCAATTCAGAAGTCAACAATATTTCAGAAAATTTGTTAACTTTTACTTTTTTTTTTGCTAAAATAACAAATAAAAACTGTCATAGTAAAATGCTTAAAAAATGAGCGGGATTGGTTTTATCATTTGCAAGAAAATAAATAAAATTCAAACTAATTCGAAAAAGTAAATAGCTGTAACCATCGCACAGTTTCCTAAGTAAAAACACTATCAGATGATTGCCAAAAAATGCTTACAGCTGAGATCACTTGTTTTTTAACAGTTGTTCTTATCTTCTACATTTTCTTTAGTTTCTATTACAATTTATTCAAAATACACTAACAGACTGAACCAAAAACACACCTACAACCTTCCAGAAAAAATGGTATGAAGAAGAGTTACGTTACTTATGGAACTGTACGATGGCTATAACTTCATAATAATTCCAAGTTCGGAAAATTGTCAAACTTGTAGTTCTTATTTATCATTTTAAATCATAAAAAATTAATTAATAAAAAGCTCGGCCTTTGAAAAAATATTTATACAAGTGCATTTCTGACATTTTAGCTCAGCATAATTCTTTATTGAAGGCGTTTTCGATTAAACAGCGGGGACATAGGCATTTTTTTAAGAATCATAGAATCTGTCATTAACGTCTTCTTTGGCAGCTAGCGATAGACTAAGACATTGCACAGTGGGTTAAAAGACTTCTCTAGCGGAAGAAAATTGATATATTCTAAAAGAATAAAGTGTTGTTTATAGCCATCTTCATGAAAGCAATTTATGTGGAAATTGTTTTTTTTTATTTAATATGAAAACTAGCAGAAGGGAAAAAATTATTTTTTACTTAAATTTTTTGTGAAACCGGCAATTAAGATGTTTTTTTTTTGGAATGACATTTAAATATTTAATTATTTCCATACATTTTTTTTCAAAAAAATTTTTTTTAATGTTATTATTTATTTATTTTTTTAATACTCTGAGGCGAAGTTACATATATTAAAATTAAACAATATTAATAATAAATAAACTTATTATGTCTTGCATTAAGAGTTTGAGCAGCGAAGAAGGTATATAAAACCACGGGTATTTCTCTAGAAAAACCTCCGTATTATTATAAAACAATGCAGATGATGATAATGAAAACGAGCCCACTTGGATCATAAGCATCAATCCTTTGTGACACCCAACGAACATTATAACAAGAAACGATATGTAACAAGAACAAAGCTGCGCAGGCGGCAGGTGTCTGTGTCAGAGCGCTCCATACTCATCTGTCCAAAATTAGTCCTCAAATAGACAAAGGTACTCTCACTCTTTCTTTTCACGGTGAGATCAAGTCGAGGGTTTACTGTATGGCTACTGCTTATGGCCTCGTACCCAGATAAGTCTGAGTAAAAAATATTTAAAAGGAAAGTGCAAACATTCGCCTCAAAAGCTAGGAGCGCACAATGAGCAGTCCCAAAATCCTGATTTCCTCTTGGCTATCAGATTTGATGTTTACCTTCCTTTCCGACGTTGCGCAATTAAGCAGCTACAGCCATCTGGAATCCTAAATTAAAGGTTGATAGCGTGTTCCCTGTAAAAGATCTCTCCGCTGACACTTCCGTCAAGTTTCGAGCAATCCGCATGGATATGTATATTCAATTAACACGGATAGATTTTGGCGCGCTCATGGCGTCCGTCTAATCTAAATGTAATAAAATATAATTTTTTTTATTCACCGCTTGAAGTGCCGTGAATTGGCCACCAAGATAGTGCGATTTGACCCCGCTGAACTTATTCGTGTGGGGTTTCAATCAATCGATGCCCTTACAGCCAGCATAACCCAGGTCATCGCTCTAGTTCAGTCTCATCTTTTGTCTTCTAAACCAGTGACGATCAAAGCAAGCTTTTACTACATATTTGCGCTTCTAATGCGACTTCATGCTATAATAAATATTATCTTCACATTAGTTATTTACTTTGCAGTGTAATCGCTCAGCAACTTGGCTCTATTCGTCATTTTTATTGACTTACTATATTACCAGAAACGCCAGTTGACAATAACAGGCTTAGTAATTAACTACTAACTCACTACTGAGCGGGTGTAATTATTTAAACAAAAAATTTAAAATATGCGAGCTACCGCTAATTTGTAACTATTGATACTGCGCAATTATTTCTAATTTAAAAAGTCAGGGTTAAATTACTTCAACATACCATAAATAATAGAACGACATCAACCAACTAGGCGCTCAATAGCGCAAAACCGACTAATTGCATTTCAAAAATACCAATTTAATGAAATTTAAATTATTTTAGCTAATTACTTTTGCACTCAAACTATTTTATGTTTCCTAGTTCGTTAAATATTATTTTTAAAGAAATATGCTCCAGTTATATATGTATGTATGTACATTTGCTTTCAAATCTAACTAACCACCTCTACCTATCTCTATTTGCTCCCCCCCGCCTTGCAGGTGAACGCTATGACTTCATTATCAATGCCAATCAACCTGTCGGCGCTTACTGGATACAGGTGCGCGGTTTGGGTGAATGTGGCATTCGTCGCGCTCAACAGTTGGGTATTTTGCGTTATGCGCGCGGCCCCTATCAACCAGCATCGGCTCCACCAACCTACGATGTCGGCATACCACAGGGTGTGGTAAGTAAATGGCTTTTGTATTATTACTTTATTACCAAAAAAAAAAAAAAACACACAAAAAGAATATAAAAGAAATACGAAATCATATAAAAAAAAACTGTAACATCGAATAACTCACGAATGTAGTTGCCATTCAGGGCATAGCCTTAAACAATTTACTATTTGCATATTTTTGTTCCCATTGCGGCGATATATAAATACTTTAATGTACTGTGTGCGCTTTTGAAAAACAGCGTGACTCAAAGCAATTTTTGTGTGTGTGTGTGTGTATGCGTGAACTTTTGTGCGCTAAGTGATTGTTTGTAGCTAAGATAGTGCCATGATTTTACAATTTGATCGTCATCGAGGCTGATTGCATACGAAACTTGGTCTGGACGTCAGCCTGCTCGACGCTGTACGCGATCAAATCAATGAATGTAGCTTTACATACGAAAAAACGTGCATGTAAAAAAATAGCAAAATGTTATAAATAACATCCGTATTGCACTAATTAGATCATACTTTAATATAATTCTGTTTTAATTATTAACTTAAGATCGCTCTGGCCGACCATCGTTGGCATCTTTCTAGGCAAACAGCGCGAGTTTTTTAAGCATTTTATATATTATTTCCTTCGCTTTGGAGTGTAGTTTGTCAAGCAAAAATATTGTTGGATTTCAGGAACTTAAAATTACCATTATCCCGAATTTTGTATGCAGTATCAAAATTTTTATTTGGAAGATCTTCCATTCTAGATCATTACAAAAACGTTAGATCTTGCATGTTTTCGAACAAGGCTAATCATTTTACTGGAAATTTTTTTCCATAATTTTTAACCATTATAAAGGAAACTGCTTCTTGGGAATTCTTCTTGAAGTGAAAAATAAAATCTTAAAATAACGGTTATAGGTAGTATGATCGAAATAGTTACAACCCAAAATAACGATTACTTTTAATCAAGAACCGCAGTCATTATGAGTTTCATTAAAAAAAAAAAACTTTATTTAATCATTTGTTTATTTTAAAAATTTGCTATCAAGAGTAATAATAAATTTCTGAGCTTTATGGTGTAATTCAGAAATAAAAACAAATTTTTCGAGTGTTGCTTTTCTCTGAAATATTCATTATTTTATGAGCTAAATTTTTTTAACACAAAAAATCTTTGCTTTTTAGTTTATTTTTATTTGGAAAAAATAATTAAATTTTATTTTTAATTTTTTTTTTATTGAAAATAAAACGGATTTTTGAACGTTGTTTTACCTATTGCCTATTAATTTTTGAGTTTTATTTTTTTGGCAGTTCTTAAATCTTAAAACATCACACCGCTTAAAAATTACTACAATTTATCAGCCGCATATTTTATTAATACTTATTTGTTAAGGTTGTCCTTAAAATGTCAACGTCTAAATTTTGTATGAACAAAAAATTAAGACATCCACGTAAATTTCAAAATTTAAAAAAAAAAATTTAGGGGTTTAAAAATTTTGATTTTATATTTTAATCGCAAAAATTTGGCTATATATTAACTTGAAAACTGATAAGTTTTGCATGTTATTCAAGCTTATTCATACAAATTCATAAACTCGCGGAATTAAAGTTGGTCAAAGAGATAATTTTGTCGAATTTTTATGACTTAAAAAAATCAACTTTCACAAACCCTGCTAGCGAACCATAGAAGTTTTTTTTTTTAATTTTTAAATCGTAGTGGATGCCTTTATTTCGTATATAAAATAAAATAAAGCGGTACCCAAGCAAAACCTATTTATCACTGAACACCTATTCGTATTTTGATCTGCCCAAAAAAAAAAATTAAATCCAAAGTTAATTGTTATTTGTTAGGGATATAACAACGCTTTAGAAATTAGTTAAAATTTCGATTTCTATAATGATTATTTTTTATCTAAAAATAAAAATTCGAAAATAAATCATTATTTCAGAAAGATGACATTCGACAGTTAAACACTTTTATTTATGATTAAAAAAAATAAGCTTGATATGTATATGATTTTATATTCTGAGCGATTAACAAAACTCGAATAGCCATTTTCAAGAAAGCAATTTAAGTGAAAACATTTTTTTTATTTGAGTTTAATATGGAAACTGACAGAAAAAAATCATTTTAGTTTGGTTTTTTTTTTCTCCAGACGTCACTATACAATTCCTATGTAGAATTGCTCGGTAATTCCGAAAATCGAGATTATTTTTTTTTTTTCTATGGATGCGTTTTCGAGATATTTGCAATTTAATCAGAAATAGCTCCCACAAAATATCAATCACAATTTATGGAAAATACAAAAATCATAAAATAACGGTTCAATTTGATTGGAAAATATGAATCCTATTTTAACGGTGGCAAACTTCTTTCCTACTCCAAAAATAAGGAGCAACGGTAAAATGCAATCAACTTTCAAAAACTGTTCACTTTAAGGATTTTTTTTTTTTACACGAAAATATTTTTCTAATATTCCGACCTCGAAAGTTCGCTAAGCTGCATCCAAAATTACTTAATTAAAGTTATTAGTTCAATGCCAATAGTTAGGCGATGAATCACCAAAGGTTCAAAATACAAACTCCAATCAACATCCAATAAAACTCGAATGCAAAACTGAAATATAGCAACTGAATAGTACAATATCTATAGATTTCCATGTAATTGATTTATGCCAATCAATTTGTAAATATGGTGGCACATAAAAAGAAAACAAAGGTATTAGCTAAAAATTTCAAAGAACAATTGCTGTCGCTATTTGAATTTGTTTTTACATACATACATACATACATACAAATGTACATATGTATAAATCGCTGCAAAAAGGAACTAAAATGGCAAGCGCATAAAGCGCATGCGCAAGAATAAAAACGTAGCAAAAAAAAACAACAACATAAAAGTGCATCTAAACAATAGCGCGATAATTGTAAAGCAAATAAAAAATATGGCAAAATGTTACATAAGAACCAAGAAATGGCGCCTGCAGAGCCATTGGTTACGCGCATACATATCGCCTGTTCACCTGGTAAGTTGAAAACATTCCAATTTTCCACCAACGCTTGGTGACTGTGTGGCTGAGGTACGGCACCACCTCCCCCCCACTCCACCCCCTCTACCGCCAGTCACTCGTAATGCACAAGATCACACACCAATTTGTGACTGCAATCACACTGGGAAAACGTGAGTTGCAAGAAATAAATAATTTCAATTACATTTAGTTAAACAAATATTGTAAAAAATTGATACAAAAATTAAAAAAAGAATTAAATAAAAAAATATTGTACAGAAGTTAGCAGTTGTGAAAATTGTGGCATTTGCTATGGCTTATGGCACTTTAAATAATTAGAAAAAAAAAAAAACAATATAATAAAATCAGTATCTTGGGTTATGGCAAAGCGCATTGTACTCTTATTTGCTGTAAATGCTATATTTGCATATATGTACTATGTAAATTTGTATATGTATGTTTATTATTACTTATTAATACTTTAGTATAAGTTTTGTAAAATAGCACAAAAAATTCGAGCCTTCCTTTTGTGTAAGCACATAGCACGATATTTTTGAGCCCTTTTTTATCGACAAACAGCTTGGCGATATTGCCTACCTCAACGATTTTTTTACGCCATTTTTATTATAGTTTGTACTGGAATTGTACTAAATAAGTGTGACAAAAAAATGTGTGAAAAGTAGGGATGTGCAAGTTTCAATTGACTACAAAATGCCGTTGATTTTTTATAATTTTTTTTTGTTGACACCGCATTTTTCCCCATACAAAATATGCTCGACAATTTTTTTTTAGGGAATAGAATGCCTAGCATCCTCAACAAAAAAAAATGGTCAAAAATCAACGGTATTTTCTAGCCACTTGGAACTTACACTTTGTAATAAAATTGAATGGGCTACAAAACTGCATACCAAAAATTTTTCAACAAATTTTTGAGAAAAACCTCTCTCGGTCATCTGTGACCTAACAACCGTTAGATATAGAGGGGCTTGCTTAAATAGCTGCGGAAATGTAGTCTTCTCATTCCTCTAATGGGTTGCTTTTCAAAGAAGATGCTGAAGCATAATAAGTTTTGCGCTTCCGATACAAGTACTTTTTTTCGATACCTACTTGGATCGCAGTAAAAAGTATCGAGTACAAATTTACTTTGTAAATTGAGAAAAGCATCGAGTATGTACTTTGATTTACTTGTATCGTTTCGGCCCTATATGTAGGCATAATATTAAGTTCAGACTGAAATTTAGTTGAATCAATTAACCTTTTTAATTGAGATAGCGCTATTTGGTGTTCACACGCAGTCAGATGCTCCATTAGCGACAGGGGTGGTAAAGTAGGTATAACCGTATCTTAATTCAGATGTAAAATACTTTTGGTACAAACACACCATTTTGGCTACATTATGAAAGTAGTCAAATAACTTTTTAGGAAATCAGTTCTTATTTTTATTCACATTTCAACGCATTTTCTGGTGAGGATAACTTGTCCAATAGCCTCTCTCCTTTGTGAAGGGGCATACAAATGACTTAACTGTAGTAGATTACGCCAGCTAGCCAGAATATTGCTTGAAATAAAAGTTAGGATGATTTTATTTCGTAATACCAAATAAGGACCAATGAATTGTGCAACCGTGCCTTGAAACACATTCATCATCGAATCGAGAGTCGACGACGTATATGTTTTACGTATAAATACGAGTGTATAAGAATGTAATTTCAGGGTTAAGGGTACTGAATATGTTCAGATTCTTGTACCAAAAGTTTTATGTCGGGATACCAGGCAGGGACCAATTGCATTCGAAGCCAGGCCTGAGATATTTCAGAATTCTTACGGACGGATCTAAACCGAAAGATGCAAGATTTTCTATTCTCTGCGAGTGGGACCTCGTCGCAAAGGTTTTCCCACCCGTGCGACGAAATCAGATCAGATGTTCTGTATAATAAAACTACAAATTTTGTATGACTTTTGCTGTGACGATAGAATACGCCATATTTATATCAACATATTTTATAAGTGATTTTTAAACAAAAAGCCCAACCGACTTAAGTTCTCATATAAAAATTTAGGAGTACCTCCCCCTTTTTTGAAGTCGGGTCAAAATATAAAAACTCGGTTTTAAATTTCCTTTTTCTTCATTTTCTGTATTCAAAGCTATTTAACAAAACTTATGTAATAATTACCCATTCTTAATTATTAGTATTGTACATAAATGTAAATAAGACATATTTTTATTACAAAAAATATAAAGACATTTTTATTCTTCTAGCTGTATAGTTACAAGTATTATGCTAATCATATTTTTTCTTACCAATTTTTTTTTCTTTACAATGAACCATTCAACCAACCAATCAACCAACAACCCCAACCAACACTACAAAACTCCAATATGTCTTCACATCTGAAATCATCAAAAATGTTAAAAACCTTTCGGAAAAAACTCTGCAAAATTTAAAAATTTAACGATTTGATTTGAAATGTTGTATATAAAAACCAAAAACCTAATACCAAAAACCACCAATGTTTTTTTTTAATATAAATGGCACAAATGTATATAAATGCACAACACCTCAATGCTTACGCCAAATGAAATCATAAAACTAAACTAAAATTAAATGCGGTAAATTGCCATAAAAAATATGAAAACAACAAAAAAAAATTGTCAACAATCAAATAAAACAAAGGTCATGAACCCTCTGGACGCCCAATGTAATACACCGAGAAACGATGCTATCTGCGTGAGTCAGCTGAAGAGTGCGCTGGATGTACATCGCGACATTTTAACACAAACGCCCGATGTGAAGATCTTCTTGCCCTTCCGCTTCTACGTTTACCGTCCGGAAGAGCTGTTCCAGCCAAACACCTACAATCGTTATTTGGGTAAGTTTTTTTTCACATACATATGTATGTATATATATAAATACAGAAATAAAAACCTCCAATTTGCTGTTGCAGTTGCGCCCACTGGTGATCATGTCATCTCTCTGGTCGACGAGATCTCGTACTTGTCTCCACCGGCGCCACTTACCTCGCAATTCCATGAAATCAATCCCGAACAATTCTGTAACGGTGATAATCGTCCCGCTAATTGTGGTCCAAATTGCATGTGTACCCACAAAATCGATATACCGCTGAATGCAATTGTGGAAATTGTGCTAGTTGATGAAGGTGAGTGAGATAAGTATATTTACAAATTTTGAATGTCTTTTAATGCTTAACATCATTACTACGATTAGTTGGTTTTTTTTTGCATACATTCCTTTTTGTATAGACACAAGCATTTTGTTAAAGTTCGATTGTATTGATAAGTGAATAAGTAAAATCTAAGTACCTCAGTGCAATGCCAGGTGCCTCCCAACCGGATGCAAACAATCGCTGTATTGCCGCATAGATTACAGAAATGTTGCAAAATATGTACAGTGGCGGTCAAAAATGGTTGAATGGTGTTTCGTTTTTAATGTTTACAATATTTTTCAAGCAAAAATTTTTTTGATATTTTTTTATATATATATATTTTTTATTTTTTTTGGTTCATGCTTTAACAAAACCTGTATAAATCGCACTTTGAAACTTTAACAAAACCTGTATAAATGGCACTTTGAAACTTTGTACAGAACTTAGAAAAATTTCACAAATATATATCTAAATTTCAAGCTTTTTAAGCAGAATTTTTAGAAATTTTTTGGGTATGCAGTTAACAAGCTTATAAAATTCTATTAAAATAAGTGCAAGTTTTGAGCGACTAAAAAATCGCATTGATTTTTATTTGATATTTATATGAAAAAAACCGTAAAACCCGTCAGCGAAAAAAAATTATTAAAAATCAATGCGATTTTTCAGCCGCTCAAAACTTGCCCTTATTTCACTAGAATTTTAAAGGCTTGTTAACTACATAACTAAATTTTTTTTTAATTCAGATTAAAAAGCTCGAAATTTAAATGAAAATTTATGTTATATAGTTTTTATTAAAGCATGAACCATATTTTTATAAAAAAAAAAATATCAAAAAAACGTTAGCTTGAAAAATATTGTAAATATTAAAAACTAAACACCATTCATCCATTTTTGACCGCCACTGTATTTATGTATATATATATATATACATTTGTATGCCTGTATGTAATTTATAGTTTACCAACAGCGGCACCCACGAGCCAAGATTTTATGTACATATATATATTCAGCGCAAATTAACGTTTATGGTAAAATTATAAAATCAGCAAATCGAAATGGTGAATTGTAGATTGTTTGTATGTAGATTGTGAGAAAATTATAAAACTAAATGTTTGATTAACTAAACACAAGCAAACGGAAAAAATAACTTCAACGCCTTTGGGCATTTCCGATACTAATTCACCGCTGCACATTGCGCTCTCACTAATTTTATGTTTGTGGCATAGACATTTTTTTTTTTTGTTTTTTTTGTTGTTCAGTTCATTCAAAAGGCAGCTGCAGAAAACATGAACTAGTTCAGCTTCGCTCTGAACCTAAGGTGTGGTTTAGCAGGAAAATCTTAAGTAATATCGTAATAATTCGTATTAAGATTACTAAATTACTTTTTTAGGCTAGTCGTAGGATAGTAAAAGCGAATTACAAGTGGATGTCGATGCATATGGTGTTAAGAGTTGCGTAGTGTGCGATAGCAAGATTTAATTTTTTTTAGTTTTTTTTTATTGTTTAATGTGTATTTAACATTACTTAAGCTCAGAAAATGTTATTCCTGTTTTTGCACATTTCATAAAATTCGAACCCCTTCTTTAGAATTAAAAAAAAAAAAAAATATTTTGAATACGCCTTTGCAATAACTTTGAAATAAGACTTTCTTCTCTTACCTAAAAAAGGGGAACAAATGTCGTTAGTGTGAAGACAGTCTGCCGAAATCCACAATGAAATTTAAATTTTTAAATTTTGGTCCTAAAATTGACATGCCCATTTCTATAAGATTCTTCGATTTAAAAATAAAAGTTGCGGGTCCTAAAAGAGCCACGCCCATTTCTAGGCGTTCATCGCCTTAAACAAAAATCTTCCCGAACAAATATTTTTGCCGAATGGCTGTCCTACCGGTGTTTAGGCGTGACTGCTAACACCGGGTGCCTAAATGCATACTATGTACTGCTACATGTGCAAGAATTTCCTTCATTAAATTTGTGAAATTGTTGCATATGCACTTCTCAACTGCCATGTAATAAAACTTTCCTAAGTTATAACTTGATGGCTCTACAAAGTATGCTCGGCTTAGTCTGATACATCCTCCGGACAATGCTTCCATACCACCCTCGGACCTCGCCGCATGAATTTTAGTCGTACAATATCAGGTGCAATCTCCCCGGCCAGTCACGAGAGACGTGTTAGTTTTAAGAACACTGTTTCAGCTGTCGATTAACCAGTGGCCATGTGGACCTAGCCAATTTGCATCCCAAGTTTTCGCCCAGCATTTGTTAGGCTGACTAAAAGGGCATCTGTCATCAGAAGCTAACCAAATGCAGGCAATGAAGACCTCTGCATTCCTCTATACATAATAATAGTAATGTTTTGGCGCTAACAGTTTTGCTAAGTGTTTGGCCTAGCTACATCCCCAATTTGTGGCGTGTGACCTGATGTTATAACACAAAAGGGGCCTACAGCTTCTTTTCTAATTTAGATTTTGCCCCGATTAGGGATCGAACCTAGGTCCCACGGGGTAGTAGTATGCACATCTAACCACTCAGCCACAGCGACGGCCATTACATTAATCGGTGGTTCTTGAGACCAAATAATCTTGATAGCGAAGTACAATGTTGCCATCGAGAGAGAATTCAGGCATTCTCCTACCGTTCTTGAAGCTATCATCAAAAGATTTTGGTACCCTGATTATCGCCTGGCCACCAAGTAAGTATTATACTTGTGAGCATATAGCTCGATGCATCCTTTATTGCGGCTATTTCTGCTTGAAAAACACTGCAGAAGACACCTCCACCTACCTTTCCATCCAGCAGCAATCAATCCGTGAAATAGTTTACAGGACAATGGTCCCTGAAACTAAACCCCATTCCATCCACCATGGATAGATTCCACGAATTTCATGGATTACTCAATGATCCGCTCTTACAGTAGGTATGCTGATTTGATGGCAAACGAGCTTTAGAAATCCCCCTCCTTATCTGCAGATTAACGCGTTTCTCAAGCACCTCAAGAAAAACTCCCTGTGTGTACCATTTTGGGCTCTGCCTATCTTGGGTATGAATATGTACCTACATATTCTGCTTGTTTAGTAATTACAGTTATTTGTCGAACCCTATAAGACTAACTTATGCCATCTTCTCTCCCCCTCGCAGTTCAACAGCCTAACTTGTCACATCCCTTCCATTTGCACGGCTACAGCTACAGCGTTATCGGTATAGGTCGCTCACCCGACACCAGCGTCAAGAAAATTAACTTGAAGCACGCCTTGGACTTGGATCGACGCGGTCTGTTGCACCGTCAATATGATTTGCCACCACAAAAGGATACACTGCCAGTGCCAAATAATGGTTACGTGGTGTTACGTTTCAAAGCGGATAATCCCGGTAAGTAGCATGCTGAGTTTATTAAGCAACATTTTCGAAGAGCTTTTAGGAATTTCTTTTCTTTTTCTGGAGTTATGTGAGCTTCTTAATATTTCGAAGCTTTTATGTGTTCGTGCTTATGATTTAATTTTTCCACAGGTTTCTGGTTCTTCCATTGTCACTTCCTCTTCCACATAACGATCGGTATGAATCTGATATTGCAAGTTGGCACAAATGCCGACTTACCACCAGTGCCACCAGGTTTCCCAACGTGCGGTGATCACAAGGCGCCCATACCGATTAATTAACTATAATACAACCTAAAAGGTGCCAAATTCTTTCTAGACTTCTTCTAGTATATAGAAAGTGAAAAATATATAGTAAACAAATTTCTTAATATAAACAAGCCACAAAAGATGATAAAATGTGTTCTGTAAAAAAAAAAAGAAGCACCTCGACAAGTGAAGTGCAAAAAGCACAGCCTTAAAAGGAATGATGAAAAACAAATAGACCGAACATGGAAAGTTAATTTTATCAAAACATCATCGTTAAAAAAATAGTGCCTAAAACGAGGAAACAGTCGTTTAAGAATGAGCTTTGAAAGCTCTAATCATCATCAATATAGCATCAACAAATCATGTAAATGCTCACGAGTAACAAACATTTTATCTACCACAACAATAGCGACAATTATAAAAATAACAAAAAACTTCGTGCTTTTATGAGCTTTACCAATGCACAAGCTCTGCCAACATAAGACTTGCGTGACACGCACACATACATACATATACACTTTAGGAGAGGAATGATGTACACAGGGGAAATGCGAACGTGAGCGGTAGAAGTGAAGTGAACGTGACCTTGTGTAAACACGGTGATTGGATGTGAAAGCGGAAAAAGAACGAGATTTGCGCGTCGATTTGTGCGCAGCAGTCATGAATAAAATAACTAAATGATAAATATTTTAATTTTATGTTTTTGTATTTTTTTATTTCTTTTTTTTTTTTAATTTTTAACCACTCCTACTTAGCTTATGCTGCTTCTTTTTGTAATTATTTTCCAATTTTGTTTGATTTAGTTTATATATTTTTAAGCTTATAGATGACTGTAAAATAATTAAGTTGCTTCGTTTTTTTATTATTAATTTTTTTTCTAATGCCCTACTTCCAACGAAATTTTGCAATATCCTTACTCACTATATTCCTTCAATGCATCTTGCCTTTAATTTGTTATCAATTATTTAATTTTTTTTTTTTTAATTAAATGTAGTGCATAGTTTCATTTAAATGTAAAAAATTCAAGCTGAGTGTATAAAGTTTTTTTTTTGTATTTATGGATAAGTCTTCAATTCCTTTTGTGTCCATGTGTATATGGAGCACGAAAGGTTAAAACGAGATCGATGGCGAACTAGAGTTTAAAGTGTACAGAAAAACTTCCCTGTTGGTTTTCTTCGAAGTTCGGTTTCTGTATATCTTAGATATCCCAATAACACTGTCCAGCGCCCATAAATATGCAATAATATGTAGCAATCACATATTTGAAAATAGTATTAAAAGTATGTATGCACTTAAACGTTTTTATAAAGGTATACATACTTATGTAAGCATGTGCATTAGGGTGGAACGAAAAAAATTGTTCGTTTTGAAATTCTAATAGCTGGGGCTTATTGCCCTTGGACGTCAATAAAATATCGCTAAAAAATTTTTAATTGATTAATGTTTTCGGCCTCACTTTTTTGATTAAAATTTTGAGATTTTTGAAAATTCTATGTAAGCAAATAGCATTTCTTATCAAAATCATTTTCAGAAAACCTCTAGGTGTGCAGTTTTGCGGGTCATTAAATGTTAGAACAATAAGGTACAAGTTTGAAACAGGTAAGACTTAATTTAGATTTTTTACATTTTTCTTTTGTTGAAAGTGTTGCTCATTTTCTGCATTGTATGGAACCGTAAATAAAAAAATTCAAATATTCTTAAATTTATTGACCTATAAAACTGGTTACCTAAAATTTTTCGACAAATGTTTTTAATAAATTACGTTATTTGCTTAGAATTCACAAAAATCTTAAAATTTCAATCAAAAAGGTGAGGCAGAAAGTATAAGCCGTTTTCAAACCATGTTTAGGCGTATTCTATTGACGTCCGAAGGCAACGATTCCCCGCTATTAAAACTTCCAAACGCAAAATTTTTGTTTTCCGTTCCACCCTAATATGTACACTTAGGTGCACAAACATACACACATACACCTACAGAAAAAAAACCAAATAGTTATAGACATGTTTTGTAAAATATTTACATTGACTGTATGTACCTGGTGAGATGCTGTGCTAAAAGTATCCCCAAATCCGGTACCATCGCCAAAAAAAAACACCAATAAACAGACAAAAAAATACTTATACTCAGAAACGTGTATACAGCTATAACACAGCAACAAAGCACCATGTTATTCTATATAAATATTTGCTTAAAATAAAAAAGAAAAACTTTGTAAAAAAACGAATAAAATTGTAATAAATACATATATATTTGTAAAATAATTAAATTAATAAATAAATATAAAATTTGTTTAGTTAAAAGATTTACATCTTCGTTATGCACAGCTTATACATGCACTTAACGGTATCTTTTTTTTTAAAACGTTCATGATATTTATAAATATTACATGTTATTACCTTACAATAAATACATAAATGTTGTTTACGCTACGCCCTATGTAAATATGATCCTTAAAGTACGCCAAGTTTCCAACTATAAAACTCTCCACTTTTGAGCGAAGGTAAGTAAATCAATGACGACCAAAACATAGCCCACTGGCAAAAGTGGTAAAATTTTTCTACAAATTTTATATAACTAGATCAGCGATGGGCAAAGAGAGCTTTTACTCTTCACGCGCCTATACAAAATATATAGAAAGCTTAAAAGAGCTTTGCCCGCGGGCAAGGCAGTGCCCATCACCGAACTAGATGCTTACGGGATAAAAGCTCCCTCTGATCGTCACTGAAGTATGTAAATCAGCGACGACCAGAGAGAGCTTTCAACTTGTGCATGATAATATAAACTTATTATCCCGTGGGAGAACCTTTTCAAAGCTTTCCGTAGATTTTATACGCCCATGCCGTGGTTGAAAGCTCTCTATGATCGTCACTGAAGTAAATATATCGGTCTTGGACACTGCCTTGCCCGCGGGCAAAGCACTTTTAAGCTTTCTAAACATTTTGTATAGGCCTCGTGCAGAGTAAAAGCTCTTTCTGCCCATCGCTGAAATAGATTCATAAGTATTTTTGTTACTTGCGCAAAAGCCCCTCAAATTTAGTTATCATGCATGTAAAAGAGTCATGCTGAAAACAACGCCCGCGGGCGGAACTCTTTAAAGCACTAATGAGCACCGCCTTGCCCGCGCGCAAAGCTCTTTTAGGCTTTCCATACATTTTGTATAGGCGCGTTTAGAGTAAAAGCTCTCTCTGCGCATCACTGCTTTAAAGCTATCTGTAGATTGGGCGCGCATAGAGTAAAAGCTCTCTCTGAGCATAACTGTTTTGCAAAAACTTGAAATTTGCTAAATTAGCGTAAAAAATGGCTTTCACGTGTAAACACTGCTTTAACGTGTATATAAGTGAAAGCTCAAGGTAATTCAATACAACTAAGCTGTTGCAAAAGAATTAAATATACAAATATCAAATCGAAAATGAAAAGTGAATTTTAAATGATTCATTGCTAAACGTTTATTTCTCTCTCTCTCTCTCGCTCTTTCTCTTTCTTCCTTTCTCCCTTCCTCCCCTTTCATCTTTCCACAGGTCATGAACCCCTTGGATGCTATCTGCAACCGTAAACGCAACGATGCAGTTTGTGTCTCGAATTTGAAAAATGCCAAAACTGTGGACAAAGGCGTGTTGGTCGAACGTCCTGATGTAAAAATATTCTTACCATTCCGGTTCTTTGTTTACGATGTGAAGAATCTATTTATTGCCAATACTTACAACCGCTATTTAGGTAAGTTGTGGAAGTCCTTTCTCCCTAGTCCTTAAAATTTTGTAAAAAGGTAGCATTTTTTCTTTAGTAAATTTTAGTAAATTCAGCATGAATGCATTTAAATAGCTTTTCGCATGAATGGAAATTACGTATGTACATCCTACATATTTTGTGATTATCATCAAGAGTAATACATTTGTGTATACATAAAGTTGTTTGTTAAAAAGATTTTATTTCACTGCATCCAACTCTATATACTTTCTTGTATTGTATTCCAAGCAATTAAGATTTGTATATTTATTATTTTAACTAGTCAAGTTGGTATTCTACAAAAAAAGAATATATTCGTATTAGCGCTTTGTTAAGTGGTATACAAAAATAATAGAAAAGTTACCACTTTCCCCTAATTTGCTAGTTTCTTGCATAGGAAAATGCCAGCCAGTAAAATTATGTGCATACATATGGTCCTAATTGTATAATTCTTTAACTTTATATGCGCTCTTTCCATTGGGCATTGTATTACAAATATTTTAAGGAAACATTTGGAAATTAAAACCACATATTTCAGTGTTAGAAATAATGGTCACTCTGTTTACTTAAGAAATTTTTTTTAATGATACAACATTTCTTGTCATTTTACCGTTATCAGATGAGACGAATTGTTTGTTTAGGTTTTCAACGACTGGATTTTAATAGATTCAGGACCGTTTTTTTTTTTCAATTAAAAAATTTATCTACCCACACACACAAATTTTGTTCAGAAAAAACTAGTTTAAAGGGCAGATAAACTTAAGAGCTATTTGAGAAAACGGCACTCAATGTGTTAAGGCAGTGTCACACGGTTGGGCATTTGCCCAAAATTCAATGCAAATCATATCCCAATCACGTAAATGCACGAATATTTTCCTTTATCCCTATCACGACAAACAATTTGTTTAAAATTTTCAATAGAAGCTCGCTCGATTGTACCAATCGTGTGAGTACAAAAAAAATGTCGTCCCAATTTTTTTATTTTTTTACCAATAGCCTAATGTAAAAAATGTACAAATCTGTACAAATATACCAATAGTGTGGCACGGCCTTTAGATAAAAAACACCGAAATATTTTTTCTGTAAATCCATTGTAAACTAATTGCAATCTGTAGGGTTTTATTGAAGCCATTAGAATGAGTTAAAAGTTAAATGTAGAAGTTTAAAAATACTCTATAGTGCACGATTGACTTTTTTATTGATTTTGTATTTGAAAAAATTTTATGAATATTCGTTTCTGGCTAGACACTGTTTTACTTTCCAAATTATATATGAATTTTTCGCTCAGCCTTTGCATGCTACAAAGTAAAAACATGTAGTTAGTTAATTAGCTGCCAACGTGTTAAGAGTTTAAATATACTTTTGCATGGCTAATTTTTTTCACTGTATACATTAGGCATATCCTTTTTTTTTTGTTAAATATGCCTATGGGGGAGGATGAGGAGTTATGAAACCCCAACAAGAATGAGGTTTTTGTCACAATTAATTCACAAAGGCCATAACCAACACATTTTTTGGTACTAATACTTTAAAATTTTTATTGAAGGTCCTACCAAAATCTGTAAAAAACGAGGTTTGGAAAAAATTGTGGGTGAATTAAGGTGACGATATACTTATGTACATATTTTTGTATACAAAAAATTAGAATTAAAGAAACTTTACCAATTTCCACCAAAAAATTCTAACTTTTTGTTGAGAATTTTTAGGTATTCAGGTCACTTTAACTTAGTTGGCTGAACACAAGGGTATGATTATTTTTTTCCAGTACAAATTGTTGTTTTTCTCGGAATTCTTTTTTTTGGTTTTTTCATCACGGCTCACCCACTCCTCATATATATATTTAACTTTAAAAAGTCATATGCCTAATATACATACATACATATTTGTAAATAAATAATTTTTATTTATCGCAAACTCAATACAATCATTTAAAAACTTTCAGCTGAGTTTCTCTGTACGATGTCCGTCGATTGCTACGCGCTCCAAGAAAAATGCGAAATAAATGAAATTAAATTTTCATTTTCGCAAGAAAACAAGATCGCCCCATTTACTAACTTAAAACTAAACACTTATAAATATACATATGTAAACCAAGCAAACCAAAATCATCCTATGTAAATTACAGTTGCTCCCAGCGGTGACCATCTTATATCGCTGATCGATGAAATCACCTACGCCTCACCACCGGCGCCACTGCTCTCACAAATGAACGACGTCTCACCGGAACTCTTCTGCAATGGCGACAATCGGCCGGCAAATTGTGCCAATAACTGTCAGTGCGTACATAAAGTAGACATACCACTTGGCGCTGTCGTCGAAGTGGTGCTTGTGGATGAAGTACAGCAAACTAATCTCAGTCATCCATTTCATTTACATGGTTCACCCTATTACGTTGTCGGTCTGGGACGTTCACCGGATCAAAATATAAAGAAGATTAATCTAAAACATGCTTTGGATTTGGATCGATTGGGTATGCTAGAGCGTGATTTCACCAAACCGACACTCAAGGACACCATTGCCGTGCCAAATAACGGTTATGTAATTCTACGATTTCGTGCCAGCAATCCCGGCTTTTGGCTCTTCCATTGTCATTTCCTCTTCCATGTAGCGATTGGCATGAATTTAATATTTCATATAGGCACACAAGAAGATTTGCCACCAGTACCGCCGAATTTTCCACGTTGCGGCGATCACTTGCCACCCATACAGTACTTTTGAGTGGCCAAGTTTTGGAGCAGAAGAGGAGTAGTTAGTAAAGTAGCTATGCGTGAGCTGCGTAAATGGCATAAGGAGCCACTAAAGCGTCGAGATGTGCCAGTCTACTACTTTTGTTGGTTATTATTGTAAATAGCAAAATTTTAGCCGGAACCACAACAAAAGTCTATACCTACATGCATACATACGCGTACATGCAAACATATATGTACATATGTATGTACTTGCAAGCGTTATTCTTTCATGTGCTTACTCTTAATTTGATTTGTTTATGCATTATATTATATTTATGTAGAAAAAAAATGCTGCTATGTACTGCTATTTCATTTCATTTTTATTACTCAAAATTTCCAATGTTCATAATTTTTATACACTTAGCATAATCACACGCTCTTACTGTGTATGTATTTGTAGTCAGATTATGTATAATTATTTGTAGCGAAATATTTTTATTTCTCTCTGTGTATGTACTATGTATATTTAATGTACGATATTTGTATTTGTATTTGTATTACCTAGAGTCACAGCAACTGACTTTTCTGTAGTGATACATACTTGTAATTAATTACTAAATTATTTTTAATTTTTTATTTAAATACATATAAATAACAAATTTTGGCTTACTAACTTGAGAAAAATAAAAAATACGCAAGGCCGTTACATTCGGTAAGTTAAAGCTTCTTTTCAAACTGTATACCACGCAATAGTACTCTCCAAATACGTTAGCATGCAACAATGTACGATTTTTAATTAGAAAAATTTGTAGCCCCTACTTTCACCTTGTTCAAAATTCAAAAACAAAAAACGAGAAAAAATAAATTACACATTCCAAACAAAAAATCGAAGCTGCCTCCCCCTAAGTTGAAAGATAAAAATAAATATATTGCAGGGACCGAAAATAGCCATTATATACCAAGATTTTTAAGTAAGATCATTGCAAATCGGTATTTTCTTACTTTTATTTTTGAACTAAAAAATAATCGTTAAACTTTGACTTTTATTTTTCGATCAACACCAATCTTTTTTTTGGATTTTTACTTTTTCGGTTATTTTTAATCGTTATAAACCGCTTTCAATGCCTTATGCTCAAAAAAAAACTGAGTACGAAATTAACGCTATGGCATGATCGATATAAAAATAATAAAATAATGATTAAATTTAATTATAAGTCCATATTGAACGGTGCCGATGCGGTGCCTGAAATATATATGTACATTAGAGTGGTCCTAAAAACCGCATGTGAAAAAGTAAAGTCGGAATTTTAAGCTCTCACCCCCTAGGGTGAAAATAACCGTACCGAAAAAATATACCCCTGTTCTTTTATTTTAAATCTAAAAATATTTGGAGGCCCTCGAAAGCGCTCAAAGTTTTGGATGGATCCATGTCTCTGGAAGCATACAAGAAAGAAAGTTGCAGCCATTTTTTTTTAATTTTGTTGTATTTCACATGGCACACTTTGTTGTAAAAAAAAATCTTAAGACTTTTTTGACACTTTAGAGATCAGAAGCAACAACACAATACACGTAAATGTTGTTTTGCTGAAATGCATACTACATATGTAGCTGTGTGCCTTGAAAGAAACCCATTTTACGTGGAAATGGTTTAGAATTCTTGATAATCAATATTTTTCACTCGTAAAACTCTATTTTTCTTCAGGAGACTTTCAGTAATTGTTTATTTTACAATTTTTAAAATCCAGCAATTTTTTAAAGGTTCCCCATTGCTTTTTTTGGCGTTTTAAACGACCTATACAAAGTAGGTATTATTGAAAGTCTCCTGAAGAAAAGTTTTCCGATCGAAAAATATTGATTTTCAAGAATTCAATACCATTTCTATGAAAAATTTTGTATTTTCCCTTCACATGAAATACATGAAAAACTTTGCAATACATGAAAGCTTTGAGCGACCTCTAAATATATTATGGTTTCAAAATAAAAAAAAAAACAGGGGATGTAATTTTTTCGGTAGTTACAGAACAATCCTAGCGGGTGAGTGCATTAAAATTACAACTTTACTATTTTTTGCCACACTAATATACATACAGGCTATAGTTCCGTACTTCAGGATTCAGTCACAAATAGTCCGACGTAGTCCGGATGATAGTACTGAAGATAATATAAATGTGTGTACGGGAATGCCTTCCGACTATTTCCGCTTAAAGCCTGGAGTACGTTAATAGGCTAATAAACTCTCGAAAATCGCAAAGCATTTAAATTCAATAGCAAAATCATGAATCTTATAGCGTTTTCTTTTCTCGAAATAATGTTGCTTTAGTTCTGCCCTGCGCCAGGGCTTAAGTTTTCGTGTTCTTTTCTCAGCATCGTCATATGCATATTGCGCGCTCTTTCCTTAAAGTGTCAAAAAAAAGAAAACGCCATTACTTTCAACTTCGGCGAAGACACGTTTCGACATACAACTTAATTTCCCACTCGCACACACACACACACATACACACCCCGATAGCCGATTAATTTCCATTTTACTAATCGCCTGCCATTATTCACATTACAGTCGCTTCGGATGCCGATCACTTGATATCGCTTATCGATGAGATCTCCTATGTATCACCGCCATCTACAATACTCTCTCAATACGATGACATACCACCAGAATTGTTTTGCAATAGCGACAACCGTCCCGCCAATTGCGGTGAAAATTGTGAATGCGTACACAAAGTCGATATACCGCTTGGTGCTGTTGTAGAAGTTGTGCTGGTCGACGAAGTGCAGCAGATAAATATTAGTCATCCATTCCATTTGCATGGCACCTCGTTCGTAGTGTTGGGCATGGGCCGTTCGCCCGATATGCAGTTACAACGTATGAATCTACAGCACGCATTGGAGTTGGATAAGCGTGGCCTGTTGGAACGTCGCTTTCTCAAGCCAGCGCTGAAGGATACTATAGCCGTGCCGAATAATGGCTACGCAGTGTTGCGGTTTCGTGCTGACAATCCCGGTGTTTGGTTGTTCCATTGTCATTTCCAATTTCACATTGTCATCGGCATGAATATGTTGTTCCAAGTTGGCACGCCCGCAGACTGGCCGCCAGTTCCGGTTAGCTTTCCACGTTGCGGTAATCATATGCCACCTATCACAATGTGGTAGCGTGGTGAACGATATGCGAATTTGTAAAAATTTCTAGT